GAGAGAGAGAGAGAGAGAGAGAGAGAGAGAGAGAGAGAGAGAGAGAGAGAGAGAGAGAGAGAGAGAAGGAGCCGTGTGAGGGAAAGTGTGCGTGCGTAGATGTGGGCGTGCGTGCGTGCATGAGTGCACGCGTGCGCGTAAGAGAGTGTGTGTGTGGGCGCCGCATTATACGAACACCGACATGTTCTTTCACACTGAAACGTGGGAGAGATATAGTGGTCCACCCAGCGCTCAGGAGCACCGTCTTCCCACCGGCTGACTGTCTCATGGATCGAACATACTGTCAGATTCATCACGAATGCGATTGTTATTAAGTAGCTTTACATGTCGCCGTGTTTTCTGTGTGCACGTTTAAGCCAATTGATGCATTTATTGAGCAGTGTTTGTGCGGATGCAGGCGTGGCGGGTGTATCCGTTAGTGTCACAACATCGCGATAATACTACGGTACGTTATTATTAGCGCGACGGAGATAGGCGTGCACGCAGACAGCATGACACAACGTTTGTCATCGCTGATAGTTCATTACTACATGACTGATCAGCGTTCTGTTCGCTTGGCACCGCACTGCAGAAGAGCGCCATCTATATTCCTAATAGCGGCGATGCGAGGTCGTCGCAAATAAATCACCCGTAGCAAACACGCTACATGTCTCAAATAAGCATGCCACTGCCATCTAGCAGAAAAAATTGTGTGAAATTGGTAATTTTTTTACGAAGAGCACGCGGTCTTGCGCTGGACAATGAAATATAGTCGTGTACCTAAAACTAAATTAAAATTATTGATATGATTTCTAGACCATAGTCTACATTACAGCAGCATTTAACACAACCCGACGGAGAGAACCTTAGCCAGATAGATTACGCCAACCAGAAAATTTTCCAATGGGTTGATTAACAGGCCAACACATTGACGTACAGTTCAATAGAATTCTATATTACCATGAAAATTTTCGCGTAGAAATTAATGCATCTTTATGAATCAGCACGTCTAAAAAACCGTTCGGATATGTGTTTAAGAATACTACACTGTATCAATAATAATAATACGCTGTATAACGTTACGATTGCGTCTGTGAGCTGCAGTCGGTGATCTATGCATGTATGAGGCAAGGGTAAAATCTGTAGCTCAACACGAAGGCCGAGAAGATGAAGAATATTATACCACTTCACTTTTTCGTCGGCATATCGTGTGAACTGGTAGTGTGATTAGGGTATTCTGGACGCACTGCAGCCCGGATCCGCGCGAAGCGCGAACAGCGCCATCTCATGGCGCCATTAGGGTCAATTCGCTGCCCAATATGTCTAACT